TTAATTGTCTTTCAATAGTAGACCATATAATTGAACATTAAAGATGCTTCTTATAATACATACATAATCAACTTTTTATTTTCTCTTCCTAGTTTTATGCTTCTTTCTACCACCTTAAGTCATTTGGATTGATGGACTATTTTCAATCCTCGACAACTGGTTAACTGTAACTATGTTGTACAAAATATGAGCACACTTTTAATTACCAACAATGAAGAAAAAAGAAAGAGACTTCACCTATATCCTATCTATGATCTATGAGTTTACCTAAATTTGGCCTAACTAAATTCATAATTAGGCACACAATATTTCTACATAAGTCTAAGTCCACAATCAAATATGGAATATTGCTAAGCTAATGAAACCAATTCTATGAACAAATAGACATTTTAGTACCATGATGAAACCAATGACATCCGCCTGAAAAACATATAAGCAAAACTTTATCTATGAAGCCAAATCGACAAAATTTCACTTAATTTTAAGATGACATACTTTTCGTCTGAATAGTTTGTTTATATACATATTTTGTAAAATCACATTTTCTCAATGATATACTAAGGTAAGTATTGAGCTCAGTGATTTTCAAATTAAATATTTTGCGGATTAATTTTCTAATTTTGGTACACATATCATATAATCTCACTCCAAGTTTGAATCTCGGGGACAACGCTCGTTTCTCCTTCCCCCATCTCTCTAGTAGCATCCCTCGTGAACATCTCCCGATAAAAATAAACATTTAACATTTAGTATGTGCTCGATAAAATCATTTTTAATTTTAACATATAAAATATTCTAATTTCTAACATGATTACATGAATTCTTACAATAAATTCTTGGTACTGTACATTAGATAGGTGGGATTGTCCAACTATCTAGCCTTATCAACAAATGTAACCAACAACGTAAACTATAATTTGACTCATCATTCGGTCAATGCACAATAAAAGAACTAACAAACAACATCTCATCATCTTATCTATTGAAACTTTGTATCATATTACTACCTTTTAAATTTGGATAAGTGAAAATTCTATAGTCAGTGGAGGTGGCCAAGAAATATCTTTTACAACTATGTGTAACTCATACAAATAAGAAGAAAATACTTGGCAATCAACAATAATGTAACTTTACGCAGATAGATGAGTTTACGAATAAATTACTAAGAAATCACCATAACTAAATTCATCAAAGTTAGCCTTAAATTAAGTTCAAGCGTTTGATCTAATCAAACTAATAATAGCACATATATTATCAAACTGGTAATTTTAAAGACAAATTCTTCTTATGTTGTTGCATTAGTAGGAACACTACCAATTCAATGGTTCCACAATTCCTGATGGAAAGTGCTAATTTAATTAAATAAAGCAAGCCACAAACATACAATCACTTGTTGTAAAAATATAATTTACCAAAATAATTTATAGTTTTAGTAAAAAAATTCTCTTGAATATTTAAGAGTAATGTAGGTCATTTAGATAATGAATTTGGTGAAGCATTTTGGGTCACTGTTCATATTTACTTAATGTTAGAGAATGTATAAATATTATAACAGAAATAAAAAAAATTGAAATCCATAACCATGCACATTTGCATGAATAAGTTGATACACATTCTTGACATCAAGATAAAAGACACTCGGTAAATACACTGAGTACCGACTTTGACTATCTGGTGAAAAATACATTCAGCCAATTGTCACTAATGTCACAAATAATAAATATATTAATAAATCATACATGATAAATTTCAAACATCACACATATTATAAATAAATAAATTATTATAAATGATAAAAAAATATCCAATGAACCAAGTGTAAAGTTAATTCATTCCTTAAACTGTTTTATTTATCTAAAGAATCAAATTGCATAATCGGTTTCTTCTTTACTCAAATACTTGTCATGCCCAACAAATTTTTTAACACATAAAAAATGGTGCAACGAACGCCTACATCACATCATATCTCTTCTCATGATTGTTGATTACAATCATGCCATATCAGCAAGAGATTAACCGGATTAAAACTTTCAAAGGATCGATAACTTATAATTTGCACAAAAATATTGTTGTTTCATGGTAGTTGACACTAAGTTAAGAATTCTACATTGCTTCTACATATTTAATATTATAGTTTGATAAAGAATATTCAAATCAATGATATTTGGGTTACGATTTTAAAATTATCCTTCATTTATAAGATAGAAAAAAACTTCAACTATCTCAACAATCACAACTAAAAGTTGAGATATAACAATCACTCAAAATGAGTGATAGTTTCTGTCACATCACAGAAACAATCCATGTATTGTTTCTGCTAAAAAAACAAAAAAAACGATGCATTGTAAACAATACATGCATAATGACAATCTCAACAAAACAATCGCAACTTCCAAACGACCCCTTAATACATTGATGGCTTGACTGCCTAACATGGCCACGAATTGCTCCCGAGGATGAGGAACCAGCAGTACGTCGTTGGGAACCATAGAACCCGACAACCATAGAACCCGACGACCTTGACCACTGTAGATATAGGAGATTAGTTGTATTATGATAGAGCGTTGGATGTAACAACAATTGGTTTGGTGCCAAATTTATATGCAAAAAGCCTCTCATTCACACGAATGCAAAATACATGTCGTTGGGAAAATGAAATAGTTTTTAGGGATTTCATAGGGTAATTTGAAGTAAGGTAACTTGAATTTTTTTACCTGTTATATCAGGTTTCACAGGTCGTAATACGTAAAATACAATAGGCATTACGTAATGGTTACGTAACATATGATAATCTTACGTAACAGTTGTAAAAGATCATTACGGAAGCCTTACGTAATAGAATGTGTCTTTACGTAATGAGTATTAACCTCGTGTTACGTAAAATGCTAAGTCATTACGGAAGCCTTACGTAACGCTGCTGATTTAACTGTTATGCATGTAAGAAACTGTCGTTCCGTAACCTTTGCGTAATGGAATGTCTTTTTACGTAATGAGTATTAACTTTGCGTTACGTAAAGTGCTAAGTCATTACGGAAGCCTTACGTAATGCTTCCGATTTAACTGTTAGGTAAGAAATAACTATCATTTCGTAACCTTTACGTAGTGAATGTGTATTTTACCTAACAGTTGTAAAATATCATTACGGAAGCCTTACGTAATAGAAGGTCTCTTTACGTAATGAGTATTAACATCGTGTTACGTCAAGAGTTAAGTTATTACGAAAGCCTTACGTAAGGCTTCTAATTCAATAAGAATTAAAAAAGGAAAGGTTCAACTAAATGTGGAAAAGGAAAGAAAAAAAAAATAAAAAAGGTAACTTGGGAATGTGGTGACCGGCAACCCATGTTTGCACTTTATTTTTTTTTATTCTTTGATTAATGATTTAAAATAAGTTTAGTCAATTTTAATGATTTAGATCTATGCAAGTTATCTAACTTGAAATTATATCCAAGTTACAGTAGGAGATCTCATTATTTTTATCAACACACCAAAACAATTACCAGTTCCTCGGTAATCAGTTGGGCGCAAGTATCGAATATTAATTGAGAACATATCCTAGCAATTTTACCCATTAAGAACAATGCACCGTAGCTACAACACATAGCAATTAAAGCATATTCCCCAGATGACAATTCAATTCAGTCCGGCCCGGGGTAATTTGACAACCTGCTCTATTCAACTCTACTATTTTTGGAATACAATTGAGGGGTATCTTTAACAAAGGCCGAAGATATGAGGAAATTGAGTCCTATGTTGAGCTAGCCGAAAGATGGTCCTGCCGACTACAAATCTGCACCAATAATAGACTCCTGGGATGTAGTAGTCATTATTAGTCAAGGAAGAATGAGGATTGAATAACAACAAATAACACAGAGCTGGCGAAATTTGGGGATTCTGGGTTACCGAGGTCTGGGTCCGGCGAGGAAACTCAAAACGACACCCCACTTTCTGGTTCAGTAATGAAGCATAGATGGGCTCCGTTGGTTCTGCGGAAATCCCAACTCCTTGGGTGAGATGCGGGCAGGCCCATTTGTGGCTCAAATCGGTGGATAACAGAGCTCGTTGGTGTTAGGTTAATAGATGGGACGATGGCAACCACTAAAACGCAGCGGGCCATTAAAATGTGAGGGTGCGAAATGACAGAATTGGGCTTCCGTGAATCTCTCACAACGCAGCAATTTCAAAATGGAGCAAATCTGACTCATGAATCTGCATCATATATTTTATAGATAGATAGATGTGCTGGTCTTTCTTTTATCAGTTGGTGCAGATTGTTGTTTCTTTTGAACTACTGAGTATTGTGTTTTGTTTGTTTGATAACTTGGGAATTTTGTTGGTGAACACGGAATATTGATGGTTGTAATTGTGCTTTTGCAGTCTTGAACGAATTCCTGTTATTTGCTTTAGTTGTCCTTCCAGTCTTGAATGGATTCCTGTTATTTGCCTTTGTGATTTGATTTGATGTGCAACTAGTGCTCTGCTATGGAATGACCAGAAGCCATGGCCAGTCCCATGAGTTGTTAGTGGGCTTGGCTGGTATAAGGAGGTGGGTTCTGTAAGTTGGGTAGGAAAATTGGGAAATGAAGGTGGGAAGGCAATGTAGCAGTGATAGCGTAGAGAGACGATTAAGTTAGATTGGTGAAAAATTGAAATTTAGCTCTTGGTTGTGGGTTGTCAATTTGGTTTATTGGTGAATTTAGTAGGGTATAATTAAATAGCTCTTAGTAGGTGAAGGCCATTTCGATTAGTATGTTACTAGATATTGTTTTTAACGCTGGATTGTAGTTGGCATGAGAATGTGATGGTTAACTTTGAAAACAAATTAGGGATGATGACTTTTCTTCTTCAGTTTTATACTTTTGTCGTGTTCATAAACATTAGTATGCAGCCCAGTAATATCTCATTACTCTATGACATGTGTGTATTTTGTGGATGAACATGCCATAAGATAGTCGTTATCTGATTACTACTTTAGTAAGAAGACAATTAACCTAAATTGTGTGGTAGTGTGGCATAACAATTAACATAGAGAAATCATCGTATGGTCCAAACTCCAAATTGTGATCAACAAAGCAGCCTAAATATGCAGGCTCCCAAGACCCAAGGACAAAAAGACATTCCCTAAACTGTGTGTGTGTGGCTCGACAGATTGTCTATAATCTATATCCCCACAACACAGTACAGTATTTTGATCCAAATAAAACAACCAAACATGGTTGCAATAAGACCAATAAACGGTTCGGGAGCAGCTGTGCAGTTGAAACTATTTCTATATGCTTCCTTTTCAAATGAACTCGACGGCCTCTTTCCCAGGGTGAACTTCAAATGAAATGTTGTCATTGGTTCCTTGTGATGATAGCATCTAACTGTGGTAATGGATTGGGTAGATGGATGCCTACTATGCATAGCAGCCTGTGATCAAAAGATTTGCGCAGCGTAAGGGAGAGCAGTTGCCAGTCTTGTCCCTAACGACTATGACAATCCGAAACCTATAGGGATGAATCAAAAAATTTATATCAAGTTACATTACAAACACTACATATTGTTCTGTTAGTTCTGTAACTGTAAGGCTGATTTTTATTTTTGTACGAGTCATAAACCGTATAACGTTTTGGTAGCATTTGGAAAGTAATAAAATTATTAAAATAAACAAAGCAAGCAACCCCATACAACTCTTCCGAAATCATTCAATACCAGATCAGCGAAAGTGGATAAAAAGGATATGCAGATGCAGCCTAAAAAATCCAGACTCTGTGCCAATCTGAACTCCTGGATATCTCACTCTCAGGTTGAAAGTTGATAATAACAAACACCTGGTATCTGCAAAAGCAAGAAGAACAAGTACAGTGAACATTTTCCACCATAGGTTCCATTTTAGTACAGTTGAAGCCGGTACAAAAGTTGCAAAATTTTATTACAAGGGCACATTGCTAGGAAGCCATAGTTAAGGGTCATAAAGGGCTTATCATGACCAAAACGATAGAAGAGAAACCCAACACTTCCCAAACCCACCACACAAGTTGATCAGCTCCTTCGAACGCCATCATCCTTCTGTCGGATCTGACTTCTGAGCCTTTCAGCACCTCCTGCTCCATCTGTTGGTTCAGCAAACAAAGCAACAACAACGTAAATGATGATCAGAAAGCAGGCCACATAAAGAAACACAGAGAGAAGAATACAGTAAAATGACTCTGTTATATCTAGTCCTCACATAACTCATTTCTTTCTTTCTTTCTGACTCTTATTTTCGTTGCTCGTGCATTACTAGTAATTTTCATTAGTGCACAACTAACCTTAGCATAGAGTCACAAGCAGTAATAAGTACCAAGTATTGAAGAGTTGTTGTCAGTTCCGTTGTTGCTCTGAATCCAACAGCTGCAGCTTCCATCGTACATAACTCGCAATTCCTTGTACCTTGGGAATGAAGTAGGCCAGCAAGAGAATTGAACTTGGAACAAGTTCCAATATCTTAAGAATACTCTTGCTTCTGCGAAGAGCTCCACCTGTCCCCCTGTCCTCAAATCGCAGGACAGGGCAGATATTACACCAGCATCACCACGATGTTTGAGGAAGAAAACTTCCGGCTTCTCTGGATGCAAACAAGGCCTGAGATAGTGGCGAAGCTCATACAATCTTGACTTCTTTAGCAGCCCGTCACATACTTCCCTCCAAGACTTACGGTCTTGTTCCAGTCTCCAAACACTCGATGCAATCTGTGAACGATCAGGTCGAAGTGAATCTTCAAATGCAATGGCGTGCAAGGCGCCTTGCGAGACTGAGATATCCCACCCGGGTTTGCAGAACACTTCCGGAGCATCAATGGCAGTGGGAGGGATGTCGGGTCGGAAAGGATTAAAAGCAGCAATGAAAAATCTCGACCGGCAAACAGCATCTTTATCTTGGTTCGGAACAGCATAACTCCAGAACAGCTCCCCATTGCAGGAAACCACATTTCTGGCTATGCATTGGTAGTGATTGGGAATAACAAGACGATCCTTGGTCCATTCTCCGGTATCCGAACAGAACACGTCTAGCTTTGCAGACGATCCACGCGGGTATAGGCGCACCACGCGGAATCGATACTCGGACGAATAAGCAAAGACTTGGTTATCTCCTAGATCGAGATCATTACACATGCGAGGTTCACAGACTAACCTTGTGAAGAAATACGGGCACCCTGCTGGCAATTCAGGCGCCAAAGGGAGGGCGAGCCATTCCTTGGTAAACGGATTGCAGAGGAAGTATGTTCTGTAAAATTCGCGGCTGGTTAGACCCACATTCTCAAACCCGCATAAGACCAGATCCTTGTAAGAATCCATTACTGCAAAGGACATACGGGATAGACGGCTCATAGGGAGAAAGCTCGTGATGATCGATTGCGGGTCGTCTGAGTGAAGAAGCAGAGGAGGTTGTTGGTTCCTGCTCCGGTGGTAAGAAATGAAACGGCGATTGAACCGTACTGGGTCGAAGATGAGAGAGCTCCATCGTTTGCAGACGAGCTTGCATCGGCAGGCGGACCTAGGGTTCGGCAGGGCGCGGATCAGAACCTCTACGAGGAGATCGTCTGCCAGTTTCCCGATCGGAGGGTATACTTCAGCTGAATGTGTCCGCACTCGTTTGCTGGAGCTGCAAGGCATAAAACATGAGCCTAGCCGGCGCCCCAGAGCCGAGGTGCTGTTATCGGCCGACATGGTCATGGAGGAAGACAGAAACCATCGGAGTAAGGATTTCAGACGACCGGATGGATACTAGGAAAGAGATCGAAATCCCTAATTTTTCTTTTTGGGTGTTGGACTGTTGGTTAATGGGCTTCCTTCTATTTTTGTCTTGGTTTCTACATCAAAAACATTTTTGGGCTCCTTGATGATGGGTTGGCAGTAGGCCAATACTATGGTGCCGCGATAAAAAGTGCGATACCGATGACGACGCAGTTTCTTATTCGTCCATGTGGAAGTGGAACTGATGTGGCGGGATGGATTGGTTAATAACATTGATACAAAGTCGGTGGCCCATTAGAATTGACCCAACCCACCTCGCCCAAACTAACGGAGTACAAATCTCCGTCACTTTATTGTGTATTTTCTTTTCATTGATTAAAGTAATTTCTTTTTTTGGGCATATTATTGAAGGTAATTAATGTAACTGAGTTCTGTTATTCAACAGAATATGCAAGCAGAAAAGAAGGGATATACCGAACGATACAAAATCCAACTTCCTCAAATCTCCCTCTCCGGCGATCTATCGAGAATCAATCCCGACAAATTTTCCATTCGAAATGGGCGGCAGATTGTCTGTTCGAGGTGAGGTTCTCTCTCGATTCGTCTTCCTAGAAAGGCCAGGCACTCTGATGAAGTTTGATGCTTTCTGTTTCCGATGGAACATTACCTTGCTTCACAACAAATGCCAGGTTTGTTTGTTATCAAAGAGCTTTCCTTCTTTCTTAGATTTATGTTACTCTATTCAGTCTGCTATAAATGGATTTTCTAACTTCACAGGGAGAGACTGCTGCTAACGTGCTTGTGAGGATCCAAGTTCAGCAGAGGGAGATGGACAAGTTGTACCTCCGCGCCAATGATCTTGTATAGGATTTTGTTGTTGTAACTGACGATGACAAGTTCCAGCTTCTGATGCATTGAGAAGTTGGTAGACTGACCTCCAAAAGGGGAAGATATATAGTACTGCACAAATTGAGACTTAGAGGACATTGTATTGAATTTGATATATGATATGTGGATGGTGCATATATTTATTGACCCAGGGAATAAAGAATTTTTTATTAGCTTTTGCTTATAGCATTGATGGAACTATGAATTAAGATATAACGAACAATCCTTAGGAAAGCAGGAATTGAGCAATAATCTTATTAGCAGCTTCAGAAAGGTATAATCCATCCCAGAACATGTAATCTTTAGGCTTTAGCATTGGTATATGTACCAGTGACACTGAATTGCAGAGTAAAGAAGTCTCTATGACACCCATCCCGCAACAAGTCTTCCTTGATAACTTCAGAAAAAAAGAGCTCAAAATCAAGCTCATCCTCTTTGTCATTCATCACAATATAGAGGCCATTACAGAGAGAAGATAGTAAGGCTTAATCTGATTTCCCTACAGCACAACAGCTACAACCAGAATGTTAACTAACATAAACTCTGATTCAACATACAACCACTACATTCATGCCATCTGTCAATTAGCATCTAAACAACTTAAAATATAACGGTGTTGTTTTCCTTTGCTTGTGGGCGACAGGGAGAGTTCAAGCATCCGCCTTTTACTGTTGTCCTGTTGCTACTGTTGTCTTCCCTCTGCAGTTGTTGCTACTGCTACTTCCCATTGCTGTTGTTGCAGCTGCTGGTTTCAATGGAGGATGATCCAGATGAAATTGGTTCATCTAATATTCCTTGCCTTGAAGAACCCTTCCTTAGATATTGTGAGGGAGTCGGTTATTTTGTATGTAAAGAGAGATTGTATATATCAAAGACAACAAGTTTCAGCCTCTGGAGCTCTTGTACAAGGCTCTAATAAGTTGTGTTCAGCTTTTGGTTGAAGGTGCTACCATCACAGTACAGCCTCTCACCGCAATTGTTGCTTCCATGGCCAAATAGGGTGATGGCTGCAGGCAAACACTCTGTTGGTGGCAGAGTTGTCACTCCAATCTTCCATGCTGCAAGTCCAAGCCCCGTACATGTTATGTTCCCATTACCACTGTTCTCTTTAACACTAACCAGATCACATTGTTTTTCGTATTAGGCAACAAAAAAGTCTTGAAACCATACTTGAATTAAGGAAGCATAAGATTTCATGAGCTTGTCAGACCACTGATCAGGAGTGTAGAGGGTGTTCAGAATAGGGTTGACATGGTAGTTTTGAACGAAATCATTGTTAAATTCATTAGTTTGTTTAATTATGAGTTGGCTCGTTTTGAGCGATTTATATCTTAACAAGTTGCCTTATTAATAATTCATTAGTTTGTTAAATTATATATCTCATGTGTCATTTAAGAATTTAAGTATGTGAACAAATTTGTCTCATTTATAATTCAAAGATCAATTGTGTGTATATTTTTTAGACACTAATAACTATGAAATAATATCATATCAATAGAGTACATAAATATGGATTTAGCCCATGATAAAAAATTTGATTATTATTCTCTTTTTCTTCATTACATCAATCACATGTACATATATAATATAAAAATAGTATTGTATTTAATTTATAAATTATATTAAATTTTATTTTAAGGATTTAACTATTAAGAATAAATTATTCGAGCTCGAACCAACTCGAGAAAGGAAAAATCGCCTCCCCTCGCCTCAATTGATGTATAACCCTATTTGTATGCTCCTCTTGTACAAAAAAAAAAATGATGAAATGAATAGTATTGCATCAACGGGTTAATTGCAAGTTTAGTCACTGGATTTAACAAAAACGTTCATGTTTGGTCACTATAAATATTTAATTCTATTCATGGTCACTAAGATTAGTTCAATAGTTCAAGTTTGGTCACTCTCCGTTAGTCTCCGTTAACTTTTGCTGATATGGCAGTCAACTTTTATAGTTGACCGTTAAATAAGTGACGTGGCTATTAAAAAAATTAAAAAATTAAAAAAATTAAATATTTACAATTTACACCTCATTTCTACAACTATTAAAAAATAAAAACAAAACTTAATTTCCTATTATTCTATAAACACCTAAACCTAACCTTTCTCCTCCTCCATCACCCCCACGACCGGGAGCAAAACTACCAAAAATCCAATCCCGGAACCACACCAAATATCCTAATCACCCCTGATAATTCAACACACCGCAATTACCCTTTTCACTGATGCTTCCTTCTTCAACAACCCTCGATGCTCGCTCATCGTCTTCTTATTCTGCTGCTGCGGTGGCGGCGGTTTCGTTGGAAGACTAGGAACAACAAGACACCCATGCAAAACAGTAGCGGTGGTGGGTTCGATTGAAACCCCTCAATTGAACAGGAGCAACAAGACACCCTTCTTTTCGAGGGCATGCTGCAACAAGCCAACCCCTCAATTGAAATTGGCGGCCGGCAGCCGCGCCAGGGACACAATCGTGATGGGATTGAATTTCAGCGAAACACCCGGTTGGGAGAATTATGCCCAATCCCGAGCGGGATGATGATGATGATTGCTCAAATCGGTAATCGCGTCCACAATTCCCAACCGAACTCCATCGTCGACTAAGCTTCTGGGGGACTTTTTGTCCATCCCCGAAAAATGGAAATTGACTGAGCAGGGGTCTTCCGAACTCAACTGGAAAAAAGGAGGAAGCTGCCAAAGAGGGTTCTTAGGTGGAGATTGGCGGTGGTGGGCAAAAACAAAGTGGAGGCCAATTAGTAGAAATTAGGATTTATATTTTAATGAATTTGTAATGAGGTGGAAATTTGATAGATTAAATTTTAATTTTTTTATTATTTTTTAATAGTCACGTCACTCATTTAACGGTCAACTATAAAGGTTGACTGCCACATCAACAAAAGTTAACGGAGACTAACGGAGAGTGACCAAACTGGAACTATTGAACTAATCTTAGTGACCACGATTGGAATTAAATATTTGTAGTGACCATACATGAACGTTTTTAATAAACCCAGTGACCAACCTTGCAATTAACCCCATATTATAATCTCATATAATTTCGTTTCATTTTGTGTTATTTTGGTGGCACTCGTTATTGGTGATATTACGGGTAATGAGTTCATAGGTATTTTACTGATTAGTTTGTCCTAGTTGAAAGGCAATATGCCATTGCATTGTCATACATTCATCTCTCTATTTTCACTACAAAAAATTTGCATGTTCAATTCTATTTCTTTCTATTCTCCCTTTTTTATCTGGTGGCAACAATCGGTCGTCATGTCTTTCAACCTATCTCTGACGGCTCTGTCCCCTCTATATTTATGTATTTCTAGCTAGAAATAGAGGATTTAATTTCTTAATCGAAGAATGTGGATGTGGTCCTCTACTCCTCTCCGTCAATTGTAGGTGAATTTTTTTGAAGGATATGTTTATGGGGGAGTCTCAATGATGAAGATCTTTTATTTTACTAAATATTATAGTAAACTTATAGATGATACATAAAAATATGATAAAGTTTACAAATTGTCGTTATTAAACAAATTAGGTGCTTAATATATAAAAATTACATAAATATTTCACGTTTGTCACCCAAATTACTTTTCTTTCATATTCGCCACTGACTTTATGAATCATTTCACCGTTAGTCACTGTCCGTTAGTCTCCGTTAACTCCGTTAATTTTTTGATGACGTGGCAAACAGAACTGATGACTAGACTGTTAATTCAATGACATGCCAATTTAAAAAATAATAAAAAATAATTAATTAACATTCCAACTCCTCCTCCCCTCTGCATCTTGCCAGCTGCGCCAAAATACTTCGCAGAGACTTAGACACCCTCACCGAAACCACCACTGCCACCATCATTCCACCAGTCCGGCGGAACTCCTCCATTCCGGGTCGTCCAAAGTGATGACTCCTGCGGGTCGTCACTTACTAGAGCGCAATGGCCGCTGTTTTCATCCGTGAAAATTGTCGAATCCCCCATATCCGAAACCCTAACCCCGATCGAATCCCGCACCTCCCTCGTCGTTCTTGTCAACAAGCTCCTCCGCCATCCCAATCCTATTTCATCTGTGAAAAGTTGTCCAATCCCCATCTCTGAAACCCTAACCTCGATCGAATCCCGCAACTCTCCTCGTCGTTCTGGACAACAAGCTCCTCCGCCATCCCAATCCTACGAACATCCGCCCCACCCTCCCAAATTAGATAGTCAATACCCTGAATTCGGATTCGGACCTCCGCTATGAAGGTTCTCAGTGAATCGAAGATGGTGGGAAAGGTTCCGATTGAGGCAATTTTAGAGATCCCTGAAGTTCATGGAGGATTGAGGCGTTGAATGTAGGGGATAATACGACTGTCACCGCCGCGTCGCGGCAGAAGGGAGAAGAGATTTTGCAGACAGGGACTGCGGGACGCTTGTTCAGACGCCTTCATCGCTCGCCGTTGCTTTTTCCGGTCGCCTCCTTTTTCGTCCTCTGGCGCTCAATCGTCGTTTAGGGGGAAATCGAGAGTCGGAGAGAGGCATTTCCGCCACTGGTTCTTCGTCGTTGCCGCCACCGAATTCATCGTCTCCACACCGTTTCTTTCGCTAATCGACGAACAGCTGCGACTTCAAGAGAGAGAGAGAGAGGGAGAGTTGTAAAGAAACTGTAACGCTGTTAATTATTTATTATTTATTATTTTAAATTGACATGTCATTAATTTAACGGTCCAGTCAGTAATTCTGTTTGCCACGTCATCAAAAAAATGACAGAGTTAACGAAGTCTGATGGAGACTAACGGTCGGTGACTAACGGTGAAATGATTCATAAAGTCAGTGGCGAATATGAAAGAAAAGTAATTTGGGTGGCAAACGTGAAATATTTATGTAATTTGAGTGACCAAACGTGTAATTTAGCCAAAAAAAAAATGATGAAATGAATAGTATTGCATATTATAATCTCATAAAATTTCGTTTCATTTTGTGTTATTTTGGTGGCACTCGTTATTGGTGATATTACGGGTAATGAGTTCATAGGTATTTTACTGATTAGTTTGTCCTAGTTGGAAGGCAATATGCCATTGCATTGTCATACATTCATCTCTCTATTTTCACTACAAAAATTTGCATGTTCAATTCTATTTCTTTCTATTCTCCCTTTTTTATCTGGTGGCAACAATCGGTCGTCATGTCTTTCAACCTATCTCTGACGGCTCTGTCCCCTCTATATTTATGTATTTCTAGCTAGAAATAGAGGATTTAATTTCTTAATCGAAGAATGTGGATGTGGTCCTCTACTCCTCTCCCTCGATTGTAGGTGAATTTTTTTTAAGGATATGTTTATGGGGAGTCTCAAAGATGAAGATCTTTTATTTTACTAAACTTTATAGTAAACTTATAGATGATACATAAAAATATGATAAAGTTAACAAATTGTCGTTATTAAACAAATTAGGTGCTTAATATATACAATTACATATTAGAACCTGATGTTACAAACAACACATATACAAAAGTTACAAACTATAATTAAAATATTTAAAAAGATACCAATGACAATGTTACAAATTGAAATCACAATATTCAAATATCCCATTTTGCATATGTCGCAACCGCCCCTCGAAAATCGAGGTATCCGTTGCGAATTGCTCGGAGTCGCCATCGATCATATTTGTGGTGGATCGAACACCTTTTGGCCGGTCTCGACCTTAGCGTCGAAACCGGGATTTGTCTGCGAAATTATAGAGAATCCGGGTTCGGGAGTACGGTTACGTGTGGGGAAGTGTATTCACACCCCACAACCCCCCAAATGGGTACTACTTAAATCGATAAGTTTTGAAGGGTTGGTGTATTTATTATTTGCGGCTTTGATGTATTTAATTATATGATTTGATTAATTAGATATTCATTATTTGAAATTTGTTAATTATGTATTTTGGAGTCCAATTGGAATAATGAGTTAAAATTTGTATACAATTAGATTATCCATCTATTGATGCAAAATCTAGAAAGTAAAGAAAATATTTTTTATTAGTTGGACTCGAACCTATTGGTTGCCTACGTACCCGTGTTAATCGGATCAAAGTCCGCGTAGTTCGTCAATTGAAGAGTTTTTAGAGGATGAAACCTAACACGTTCTATTGATCGTGTTTAAGGTATGAGATTGAGTTTTTGAATATATTTAACATTTTTTAATTTTGTAATTGAGTAGTTGATAATTGTTCAAAGATTTTCGTAAAAGACGACTAGCATGGTCTATTGACCATTGCTTAAGTATTAAATATTTAGAAATTTTGACATGTATAAATAATTATCATAATTAAATTAAGCTAAATATTTTGTCATGTTGAATTGGTATGAGACTTATGTATTAAACGTGTCAAATTAAAAATTAGGTGTCAATTAATCATAACATGGCACAGGCTAACGGCCTAATTAGTAGCATTGTCAAATCAGAACCGTAGTTATTTTAACTGACAACAAAAGGGCAAAGTTGTCATTCAAAATTTATCACACCACTTAACAAAACTCTAATCCCTCCGCCATTTGCATCTAGCGGCCGCCAACTCCATCATCATCTTTTCTCCACTCTTCTCTCTCCAGAAAACAAACAAAACTGAAAGAGAGGAAAAGGAAACGATGCAATCTGCAACCTTCTCGTTTCATCTTCTACTTCTTACTCCTCTCTCGTGTTTGTTTTGGAAACACAGAAAAGACTCGAAAAAGAAAGTACGGCCCTCGAATCGACGGTAAGTCAAGATTCAAGGCTTGCATGTTCAATTTCTAGGGGTTTTTTATTTGAATGTGGTTTCTGATGATTTTTTTTATTTCTGGATTTTCAATTTTCCTGGTGGAGATGGAGGAGGAGCAAAACAATCGAGGGAAGGTCGCCGCATACGGGCACTGGCAATGTCGCCGGCGCTGGCGCCACGAGATGGGTGAGGTCTTATTTTGGTTTTGATTCCCGATTTGGGCAAGTTTTGGGGCTCTGAACCCTTTTCTTTTGTTTCATTTTCAGTTTAGGTTTCGATCGATGGAAGGGAGAAAAGCAACGGAGACGAAAGGAAACAGAGGGTCGCCGCCGGCAGCTGTGTTTCACCGGCGTCGACGAAAATGACAAGAGGTGGACTTTTATTTTGGTAAGTTTTTTAGATTAAGAGGCGTTTGTAGGTTTGGTGATGGGTTTGAGCTTGGGAATCAGGTGTGTTGATGATGGAGTATAGTTTGGTTTTGTGTATGGTTTTGGAGCTGGAATTTGCGGGTCTGTGACTGGGTTTAATTCGATTATGGGAATTGAGGTTTGCTTAGATAGAGCAACACAAAAGAAACTTAACAAAAAGGTCGACAGCACAAGAAACAAGCAAAATATGGTGCTCGTTGGAAATAAAAACACTTAGATAGCATGAATGATGATGAAGCTAAGTGGAGAAACGATTGATCCGACTTTCCTTCCCAAATCATTGAAATGGATCGATTGAGTTTTATTGTGCTACCTTTGTCTCTTGAAGTTTGATGAAGGGTATAGTTGCTTGTCTACTCCTTGCTCTGCCTGTTGATTCTTTTTCGTTTTTTAGCTTTCGTTGTTGTTGTCGTCGTTGGATCAATAATAAAGATGGAAGTGGAATGAGAATTTTCAGAATCTTTCTCTTTTTTTTTTCTCTTTTGATGGGTTGTCTGTATGTGTGTTTGCTGCTCAAAAGAAGAGTGGAGGTGTTACTTCTGTTTTTCTGGTTTTTGTTTGTTTGTTTGTGCGTTTAGGAGGGGAAAGGAAAGTGGAGGAAGAAAGAAAGAAGAAGGCTGGGTAAGAAGGAGAAGATGAAAATCCCAGCCAGCCGTCCCCCTTTTGCAAGAGCCGAAGGGGTCTTTTATAGGGAAAAAGGCAGCTTGGTCCCCAAGCATGCTACAGGACCGGTTCGAGTCTGACCGATTTTGGTAATCGGTTGGACTGGGTCAATGGGTCAGTTTGGTCGGCTTTGACTATAATTGACTTTTCTTGACCGGGATTTGGGAGTTGACTGGTGGGTTTTGACCTGAGGTTGACTTGGGCTTTGTCCTAGACACAGGACACTATTTATTTTTGCATAATCTGTAACCACTATTGTGATTAATTGTAACTAATTTGTAATTATTAGTTGATGGCAATCTATTTTCTTTATGGTTCTCGTCATCTAGATTTCAGTTCATGTAAATATATGGAGATCAAATCTATTGAATTGATCAACCCTACAAAACTTTTGAATAAATTGTGACAACTAAAGTTAGCTATAGCCATGCATGTAGTCGTACATTTCCTTTGAAGTCCAAATTTAGATGATTATAACGTTCCAATCCAATCTGCTTTAATCAAAGCAAATCACCAAAGTTTAACTTCAAACCATTTTGTGCTTAAGTATATTTTGATTGAAATGATGTTTAGGATTTGCTATTGCTAGCCCAAAGACAAATCGAGCTCTCAACTCTTTTTGTTTTGTCGTAATAATTAGTAAATCGCCCGGACAAAATGTGGTGTCTACAGCATATATGGGAAGCTATAAGCATTTCATATTAGGTCCAACTAATAGAACACCAACATATATACCCTTCTTGAAAAGTTGTTCTTCTTGTCCCGATATCACAAATCCCATTATCGTCTAGATGGTGGAAGATTGCTCAACATTTCTTTGAAAAAACAATATTATTAGAAGCATCCAAACAGAAGCAATGCTTTAAATAGTTAACAATAATAATATATCAAACCCACAAGGTTAAGAGGATGGGATCAATAGTGACTGGGTAGATGCATCAACATTTGGAAGTTCAATTGCTAGTGGACCTAAAATTCGAAAGTGAAGAACACCAAAGTGCTAGGATTGACTAACAAAAGTGTGCTAGAAAGCCGAGTTTATAAAACAAAATATCTTAATGATTCATATATATATATAACCAAAGCCCAAATCAAACATATAAGATATGTGGATAGGATACAAACAATGAAGTTCAACATTCATTCATTTATCACAGCGGGTTGCCTATGTATTATGCTTTCGTAAGGAAGTTGTAAATAATTACGTTAGATATAGATAAATAAATTCTATCATGCATGCGGATTCACGACAATTGAGAAGGAGAAACTTATATAGAAAGAACGTTGTTAACCATCCAAAACTACTGCATAATATTAGAGATGATCTCAAGACAGAAGTAAGAAGACAATTGGGGAAAAGTAGCTCATTATGATGCTCACACGAATCACAAAATGAAATTTCAGATGCATCCTTCCATGACTAATTGACTATACAGAGCAACAACCTGCATAGTGCATATACGGTAGATACAAAAGGGGGAAAAGTGTAGTTAGTAACTCAAACCACCAATATCAGTAGACAAACTTTTCAGTAGGGATACTTCCCGGCGACGACGCCGACGTAGTCGTCGACGATCCGGTGGAGCCGGCCACGGTCGTAGTCCTTCTTGGACAAGATGGGCTGGTAGATGAAGTGGATGATGGAAGCCACGCTAAATGGAAGGTAGAATACATGGGCCTCGTCGGGGGTTTGGGCCCTAAATGGGCTTTTCCCGCTCTCCATTTCGTCCAGGAACTGGCCCTCGATGGAGTAGATGTTGTTCATGGGAGCTCGGTGGACCAACGGCCTCTTCCCTTCTTTGTACGTCCACACCTTGAACCTCTTCACCATCTCCTAGATTTGGGCTCGGCCCCTTGGCCGATGTATTTTGTCAACGACAACAGTACGACAATAACAATATTGGATGCACAGATGTTTTATTTTGCCAATCGTATGAAATTACTCAGGATTACTAGAATACGGGCGCAATATAGGAGGGCGCATTACTAGAATGCGGGCGCAAAATAGGAGGGCGCATTACTAGAATGTGGGCGCAAAATAGGAGGGCGCATTATATGGGCGCGAAGTTAAAGGCGCTATGTTATGTTTCCTTAACGGCCAATTTTGTAGATAATAATTAATCCGCTTCTGAAAAATGAGGGCGCAAAGTTTGGGCGCTTTACATGGACCGGGCGCTAAGGGGGCGCTTTACAAAATTACGGGCGCATATAGGGCGCTTTTGGAAACTCTACTATAATCACCTAACCAAAATAAGCCTTCCCCAAGAACACCCTGCCCGTTGCCTCTACTCGCAAGAAGGCGCCTGCTCTTGGGCGCCTGTATCCGTGGTTGTGTTTGCTTCATACCTTCGTAGGTTTTGAGCATTCCAAGTTCTCTTCACTCCCTTGCCTGACATGTGCTCCAGCTTGAACGTACCCGGGCCAACGACTTCCCGAATACGATATGGTCCTTTCCATTTGGGTGCCAATTTTCCCTCCACGGCACTGGGACGAAAGTCTCTTTTTAACACCAGGGTGCCTTCCGTAATGTTGTGTGCCCGCATCTTTTTGTTGTAGTATCTCGCAACCTGACCTTTCATTGCCGCCAAACGTAACGCCGCCACTTCTCGACGCTCATCCAATACATCCAATTCGTCAACACGCGCCTGGGCGCCCATCGACTCATCCCGGTGGGTCAACCTGAAGGTCGGGACTCGCATCTCCACAGGCAAAACCGCTTCGCTTCCGTACGTCAGAGCAAAGGGTGTCTCGCCCGTAGCCACTTTAAATGTAGTTCTATGCGCCCACAACACGCTTGGCAATTCCTCAACCCACTTGCCTTTGGCCTCCGTCAACCTGGTGTGCAACCCATGTAGAATACTTTTGTTGGCCGCCTCCGCCTGCCCATTGGCTTGTGGGTAGGCTACAGAAGAGAACCTCAGGACCACTCCGTTCTCATCACAAAACTCAATGAATTTTTTGCAATCAAATTGTTTCCCGTGGTCAGTGATGATGGACTCCGGGAGTCCGAACCTCGCGAAGATGTTCTTCCTTGTGAACTTCCGCACCTGCGACTCGGTGATCGATGCTAGAGGCTCCGCTTCGATCCATTTGGTGAAGTAATCAACTGCCACGATCAAATACTTGAACTGCCTAGGAGCTTTGGGGAAGGGGCCCAAAAGGTCCATGCCCCACTGTGCGAAGGGCCAGGCGCCTACGTTCCCTTGCATAGGCGCCGCTGGAATGTGCACATCATTGGCGTGAATTTGGCATTGGTGGCAGGCTGCTACATGCTTCTTTGCGTCTGCCCGTATCGTCGGCCAATAATATCCCTGTCGGAGAATGACCTTCTCGAGACTCCGGGCGCCTGCGTGCATGCCGCACGTCCCTTGATGCACCTCTTTGATTGTCTCTAATCCCTCACTTTCAGTAAGACATCTTAGATAGGCGCCCGAATGCGACCTCTTGTACAACACCCCCTCGACTATGGCACATCGGGCTGCTTTTCGTCGTAAGCGCCATGCTTCTTTCGAGTCCTCAGGCACCGTTCCTTGGGTGAGAAAGAGCCATATTGGAGCCATCCATCCTTCCCTTTCTCCTGCCGCGATAGAGGCCATCACCATTTCCTCGTGTGGCACCTCCTTCGTCACAATCACCGTTCGATCTTCTTCAAAATCCAGGGCCGTTGCTAATTTGGACAAGGCATCTGCATGGGCATTCTCCTCTCTTGGAACATGTGTGAACGTTATGCCTCGGAACCAAGCGCACTTTTTGCGGATGGCCTCCACGTAAGCTCCTAATGTTTCCTCCTTCACCTCATACACCTCATTCAGTTGATTAACAACCAATGCCGAATCGGTTTTGATACTCACTTTTTGGGCGCCCAGCTCTCTCGCGATGTGAAGTCCCACAAGTACGGCCTCATACTCAGCAGCGTTGTTTGTTTTCAGGGTCGCGAATCGTAACACCACTTCGTGTAGGGCGCCCAGTGGACTGATGAGTACCACCCCGGCACCTGCGCCTACCCTACTTGCAGCTCCGTCGACATGCACTTGCCAACATTCCTCCACGCCTGCTCCCCCATCAATCACCCCTTCAGCCAAGAAATCTGCCAATGCCTGAGCCTTGATGGCGGGACGGGGAGCGTAGGTTATGTCAAACTCGCTGAGTTGCACGGCCCACTTTACCAGGCGCCCGGACACATCCATTGATCCTAGTACCGTCTTGAGAGGAAGATTTGTGAGCACCACAATGCGATGAGCCTGGAAGTAAGGTCGGAGTTTGTTAGCTGCCATTACGACCGCCAATGCCGCTTTCTCTATAGGCGCATAGCGCGTCTCATGACCCACCATGGTTCGGCTCACGTAATATACTGGTTTCTCTTCGTTTGTCAAAGGGTCCTTGGATATGAGGACTGCACTCACGGAGATAACAAACACGGCTATGTACAGGTACAACACCTCCTTGGCCTTGGGTGCCGTCATCACCGTGGGCGCTGTGAGCAATTTCTTCAATTCTTCGAAAGCTTCATCACATTCATTGGTCCACTTGAACTTGGTAGCTTTTTTCAATACCTTGAAGAAGGGGGCGCCTCGGTCAGAGGCTCTTGGGATGAAGCGCCCAAGTGCCGCCAATCTCCCCGTCAGGACTTGCACCTCTTTAGGCGTTCGGGGGTGGCCCAGACTCATGATCGCTTCAACTTGCTTTGGATTAGCTTCGATTCCCCGCCTTGTTATCATGAATCCCAAGAATTTTCCTGCCTCGGCCAAGAACACACACTTCTTGGGATTAAGCCGCAACCGGAAGTGTTGCATTGTTTCGAAGGTTCCTCGTAAGTCCATGATGTGGTCCTGGCGCCTCTTGCTCTTCACAATCAAATCATCCACATATGCCTCCACATTCCTTCCTATTTGCTTGCGGAAAATATGATTCACCATACGTTGATATGTCGCCCCGGCATTCTTCAAGCCAAACGCCATCACTCTGTAGCAGAAGTTCCCAAAGGGTGTCATGAAAGCTGTCTTCGCCACATCTTCCTTCGCCACAGGGATTTGATGGTAGCCCGAGAACATGTCAAGGAAAC